CAAAAGAGCATAGCAAACATAACAAATGAATCACCCTGATAACTCGTGTTGATGATATACTTCCCATCTAAAGTTTAGACTCACTAGTGTAAATATAGCCACTTACTTCGGTCAACTGTTCTAAACTACATTTTGCAAAATATTCAATACTGTTTAAAGGTACTGTTTACACATGAACTGATGCATTGTAAATAAAAATGTTTAAAACGCTTGAACTATTACCGTATACTATATACCATTATGTACAGATAAACATGTCACTAAAACAATCAATACATTATGCGTCTTACTGAACTATAACTCTGCATTAATTACCCATGTTTTGCAATGACAATTGATATTAGATAGACATTTACAAAAAGTTTCAACTACAAAAACGAGCTACCTACGAATACGACATACCTTTGACAAATCTAATTACTAAACCCATGCAACTAACTTCTACTACAGTCTCAATTCTCCTATGTTCGCAAGTGCATCGGTGACAGCCCTGAACAAGACTTACAACTTCAAACACACTGACTGATGTTACCTACAAATACGGAATGTTACCAACGAATACACATGTTACCAACTAATCTGCCGTTTATTGCGTGAATATCATCCAAACATTCACTTTTGTCACCAAGATCAACTTGTTTTCTGACATTTCACTCAAAGAGAATTCATGTATCACGATAATAGAGTCTAAACCACGAACTGCAGTGCATCCCTGAATAGAACATTTTTATTGAACGCTCAGTTATGTAGCCAATTGAAATTCCAAGGAACCATTTCAACCTATTAATATGCAGTACTGCGTACCTTATCGGTTTATTTTATGATCTGCAATAATTGCCTTCAGTATAAATTATGTTATAGTAGCGTATTGTGTTCTCTATTTCATTTTGTTAACAACGAATACATGTTACGTACAAATACCGTGACACCAGGTCTTACCAATTTGAGCCCCCACGTCAATTCGACTTCCAGTCTGAGGCTTTATTTTTACAATAATAAGCTTAAAACCTCACTATAATTAACGATGGTTTGTTGTAACAAGTGTCATATTGATCCTGTGTTATTGCGACACTGGTTTATTTATATAACATTCTTAAAGAAAATGAAATCACCAAGATGTTGTCTGGTCTCATCTATGATGACTTCCAAATGGAACACATGTCACGTGTTGTCATTCCACCAATCTATTTGAATGTGATGAGTTGTTGGCACTTGTAAGTAACATTTGGGAGTGAAAATTTGCCTACGAATACAGGTTATTTTGTGTGATATCTTCGTAAAAAACAGCACAGAAAATGTTCACATGTGTCACACGTATATCTTGTAGCCCTTTGGCCCTTGAACTTAGGATATCATTCACTAAAGTGTTCATCTGTGGAAACAGCAACATATTTAATGGTATATGTAGGTAACGTGATTTTTTTTTACCAAATCAGACTTTGATTTTCTAACAATTTTTTGAGATGATTACTTGTAAGAAATATTATGTAACGCCATTGCATTTGAGTACTTTACATATTAATGCTGTAAAAAGTAATACAAAACATAACCTTGTGTTGCATTTACATAAATTGACAGAGTCTTTGAAAACTGTATTCGTAGGTAGTGCAAAAATACCACTTGAAAACAAATTACCAAAATTACGAATTAAGCCCTAGACAAAATCATTTCAGGGGATTTATTCACGAAACATTTGGCAATCAGATAAATAAACTTCTGTTTATCCAGTTTGACTACTATTTAACACACAACATGTTTTCAACAACACATTTGTAAAATATAAGTCGAAATGAATAAAAATGACCTGTTTTTGTCTCCCGTAAGCGTTATAAGTGAAGATAGTAATGCTAAATTGTTATGGGTCCAAACATGCTGTGTACACTTGTCGTTGGAATCAACCATATATACATAAAATATATCGTTTAAAGTGTTTTAAGTGAGTCTAACCTTTTGATGATAAGTATACAATACAATAGCCATACTCTTCATCAGGAACTTTTGGTGTGTTAAACGTCACCATGCCCATACGTTTTTAACCATGGTGCTCGTTACTTGTATCAATACGAATTTGGAGAAAATAGAATACGATTGGCATTACTTTGCTGTGCGCGCTATCGAGCTGTTGCATGCGTGAAAACAGGTAAAATGCATCAAACATTTCTGACATAATTCGGCTCTGATTGAACATCAACGCCATTTCACAATTCAGGTGAGATTTAGAGCGTCGGATCTGAAAACACTCGAGATGCTCGGATAGCATAACTCAAACGAACAAAGCGCTCAATCGGCACTGTTGACATAAGACTGAATGCCCGCGGAGCCCCAGGGGAAGTGTCCGTGTAAGTATAAACTTAGACTAACGGCCAGTCTCTGAATACATTTGTAAATATAACGATGATGGAACCAACAATTCCTTATAAATTGCAAAGGGGCCACACTGTGATTGGAGATTCAGAACCTGGGGCCTGAGGAAATCTAGACTTGCTTCATTTAGGGCTTTAGAACCGCAGAAAGAGCTAGGCAGAATAGAAAATAATGCGATTCAGGGACTGTGAAACAGACTACTGACGATTGACTGAGACTCGAGTAGCACGAACGTTTACGGTTTGTGTGTATGGATATAATTACACTCCACTTGACCCGACTGACAAATTGTCAATTGCCTCTGTACTCACTCTAACACCATTATGTGATGCTAGCATAGTGGTGGAAATGCCTTTCCTCTAGGGATATGTATCAGTATATCACACAATTATGAAAGAGTTAATATACTGTATGAGTAACCGATGTTATCCTGTCTGGTGTAGATAGGGTAACTCAGTGGTCGGTTTAATTTCCTCTAGAGTCACTTGATCATAGGACTGGACAACCCCACGCTGACCTTGCCCCAGACTCAGGCCACACGTGACTGTTTGAGCTGGAGCTGGGATAATTCCTAGTCTGTCTCACAACCCACACCAGCTTCCCTTCCTCCCAGCCCTTTCTGCAATGGAAAACCCTAACTGAAACAAGTCTAGATTTCAATCTCCCATCTCGCTCTGGTTCTTTTTCAGTTAAAAAGGAATTACTTAATTGATGTTTTTATTTCATTATATATATTTAGAGACTACCCGTCAGGCTAGGGTGATCCTCCCGGCTCAGAGCAGTCTGCTGAAGGTTTAAATGTGTTTCATGGCTCAAATTACAGCCGAACCCAACCCTCCATTCATCTCCCATACACCTAACTGTGTGCTTCTTTACATACTTTTAACATTATTAAAGGTGTATATGGTCGGTATGGTTGGGTTTACGTGTTGCTTGAATGACACAACACAGTCTTCATTCAGAAGTACTCACTCACTCACTCACTCACTCACTCACTCGAGATCTTACATTAGACTGAAAACAACAATGACGATAAGCAGACCATCGCAAAATATATTCTGTGACTTATTTTGTAAGTACAGTCCATTGCGATTCTTCAGCACGTAAGTTTCATAGCTCTCTGATCCCCTTCTACATTCGTCTTGGTCAGTGTATTTGCATAATATAACACATAAAATAAAAATGATAATGATTAAAATGAAAACAATAATCCACACACCATAGAAAACCTCGGCCAAGAGCAAAATCAGGTTTCTACGACTGCATTAGCATCATCATAGACTAAGAACATCACCTCCGATGACCCCTATTGTTTGTAATGTCAATATAAAATGTGGATTTCATTGTTAACATTTCATCTTTGTACACAGGGACAATGATGTATTTCAGTGGCCTACAACTATGAGCGAGTGAGTGAGTCAGTCAGTAAGTTCAGCTTTACACAGTGGTCAATATTTCAGCGATATGGTAGCGGTCTGTAAATAATCGAGTCTGGACCAGACAATCCAGTGATCAACATCATGAGCATCGATCCACGCAGCCCAGTCAGAGAGCCTCACCACGCGATCCCGGTACTCGCCTCTTACGGCAAGCATGGGTTACTGAAGATCATTTCTAAGCCGGATCTTCCCGGGTACTAGAGCTATGACAGGAACCCGTCCACACAGGTATAATTAACACGATATTAAGCCCCCTTCAATCATACATCACCTAAACTGATATCACATCATATCAGTTATCGATTAACTATTAACCCAAACATCAACGTCCCCACTCTCTAGGGGCGGTTGGGTAGCCTTTTAGTACAAGCTTTTGCTCGTCACGCCAAAGACCCGGGTTCGATTCTCCATATGGGTACAATGTGTGAAGCCCATTACTGGTGACACCCCCACCCCCGCCCTCCTTCCCGCCGTGATATTGCTGCAACTAACCAAACACCTTTCCTGTAATACCGACCCAAGAATTCATTCTATAATCTCTCTTTATAGGGTCAGTTTGTAAATTCCTTTAAAAGTTTTTCACAATATATATATCACTTTTGTGCCCACGTCAGTATTAATTAAACAGTTATAATAAATACCATACCTTTCGTTGTAACTACACCTTGCGATAAGCTTTTCCAGGTGAGAGGGAAGGCTACTGTTATCACACATCACGTTCCTATAACTATCATATTGAGAATGTATATGTTGTATAACGCTTCACCTCGCATGTGTTACTTCATCTGTATATAATCGAGTTTGGACCAAACAACCCTGAGACTGACATAATGAGCATCCCCCCCCACCCCCCCACCCCCGCTTCCCCTACTCCCCTTCCTGGACCCGCCAAAGCATCAATCTACACAGTCATCCGAGTTGAACAGCCCGTTTGTTGGCATCGATTTCAAATTGGATGAAGATCAACCGTTAGTCGCCTCTTACGACAAGCATGGGTTTCTGAAGATCATTTCAGCCCGGATCTTCACGGGCTTGAATTCCCTGGTACTCCACATCGTAAGCTACAAGCACAAGATGCTTGGTTAAAAGGCTTACTAGGAATCTGGGCTTAGGAGTATATCGATCATCACCATGTCTCCGTGCACTAGAGCTCTGCACACAACAATAGGCTACAGTCTGCCGTTACATTGGACTTACCACCAGGAACGTTATGCATCCACAACAAACGCAGATGTAACTCTGAATCCTCAAACTGTCGACTGAGTGTTTATACCACGTGACTGTCCATTACGGAAGCGAGGGGCATGTAGAAAACTGAAATATATCCTTTGACCTTTATCCTAGTTCCTGGTGAATCCTTCAGAATGAACTCACAAGATGATATAATATGCCATCTGCAGCGAATCATGTGCTGACAATAACATTATTTCGACTATTCAAACGAATGCGTCACTTCAGCTTAAGTGCCGATATTGATTGGCTAATCAGAGTCACGTGCTGTGAATAGGTTTCTTTGAACTTCATAAAGGCAAGTATTTCGCAAAACCAAGTCTAAATTTAGCCAGGGTAATCCCGCTACCGTTCGCCTACACAACCTGACCGAACCAGGTCACATATATGGCGAGACGGAGGGTGATGGTTATACTACACTAAATGAGAATCGCTTGCTCACTGAGCGAGATGCGTATGTAAACAAATGAAGAGATAAAGACATGTGACAGTTGTGATTGGATGAAATAGTGTAAGATGTTTATGTTTTTAAAAGAATATCCAACCAGTAATTAAAACTGACCACAATTTTAAGTATTTAGTGCTGTGATTTCCATCACCATGACTTATGCTTATTGTGTGTACAGATATTTTCCAGTAGGTGACATTTGGGTGCGGATCTGGGGTTGATGTGTTCCGCTTCCTGTGCTCGCAAAACGAGCCGGACAAGTTGGCCAGATAGTGTGTTTTTATGGTAGTTTAAAGGCCAGAGTGTACCCATGTGCACATGGAATGGCTGTTGATAGCCTGGATTATATTTTTAAAAATATAAGGCTACTATAGAAGTCTATGGGAAAACATTTGGTGTTGTGTAACCTGTAGGGTTCGAGCACTTTTCAGTAATTCATACTTTACATGATTTCCTGTGTTTATTTCACCATGGAAACATGTTAGCATTAATGTAGAGGCAAATTTAAAGGTACTGGGAGTAAAGGTAGGGCTGTTTTGAGTGGAATAGATTGTTTTAGTGTCCAGAATATGAACGTTGCTTCGTTTTGTGGTCGAACAGTGGGGAAAAAGACCCTCACGGTGAGTCTTACCATCAAGTAGTGGTTCCCTGACTTCTAAATTTGTTGGAACTGATGAATTTGACAACAAATTAGGTTAAAATCACCACTGCCACAACAATGTGAGTGTCTAAGTTCATCTCCTGAGGGTCAATTTGAAGTCAAATGATAAGAATATCATGAAATTTGTTCACTGCTGACAGCAGAACATGTCACAAACCCTTGTTTTCAATGCAAACAGTGTAGCATATGATCAATTCTTTCTGCCTGTCCCCTTTTGAATATGCAACGACCTAATTTTCTTTTCCTTTTTTAAAATATACCCCTTTTTTCACCCATAGGACTTTCAAAATGAATTTCTGTTTTATTAACAACTGTCTCATTGCTGTTATAGATTTTATGATTTGACATTTAATGAAATCTCAACACTATTTTCAGCTTGTAGAATGCCTGTTGGTGAATGGGGAGGTGTATCTTCACAAATACAGCAGAAAAAGAAGCCTTCACATCCAATGTGGTATTTCGACATGCCGGCCGAAGTCTGTTGTTGGCAGTGTCTAATCAAGCATACTCCCTTTGCTTCGATATGCTTCACCGCCTTGTAGAAGTTGCAGTACTTGGACATGTAGGTACATATAGTACATTTAAGTGTCCCAGTCCAGTTAAGGCACCAAAATGTCTCACTACCAAATTCCATCACTCGGTCATCCTCATACATTAGAAATTTCTGACAGTGTCCCCTTAATGCCTCAGTGTGTAGTATTTCAGCTTCCCAGACATGAAATAAGGGCTGTACATCAATCCCAGAAGCTGCTTAGATGTAAATAATAACAACTGACCCTTGTGGAATGTAATATTATGGGTCTGAATTCACATTTTATTGACATGAGAGTGTTCGATATCTTAAAATTATCTCCCCTGTTTACCCAAATACATTGTGTCTTCCTCTAACCCAGTAATCCATAAATTACTGCAGAGAAGCTCTGTTTTTAGCTGATATTGTCAAATACTGTTAATTGTAATTAAAAATATTCAGTTTAGGGCAGGGTAACCAATAAATCCAAAGTTATGTGGATTTTTTCACTTTGTTCCCTCTAAACTGGCTTATACATGAAATTGGCAAGTGTAACAGCCTCAAAACAATACACAGTCAATAGTTTTGAATTTCTGGAAGTATTTCAAAGTCTTAGCTTGATGAATCAATAGATTCAAATGTAAGTTCTTATCATGCTGTGGTCTAAAAAGTGATTTCATCTGTTGAAAGGGTCATTTGCCTTGATCGACTAACAGGCGGCAGGGTACTGTGGTCAGTGTTTCAGACTGCTAGGCATAATCCAACCCCTCACTTATTACATTCTGGCAAAGTTCATCATCCAGCCTTACATATGTCAGGATGTTAAAGCTGCTTAATGTTAAACCTGTCCAATTTCTGGCCTGAATTCAATGATTTTTTGTCGTTCAAAATATAGTTTGGATTGATATGATCAAGGCAGTCCCAGTCATGCATGGAATTAACCCATGGCCCCCTTTTTTGTGAAATAAGAGTAAACTCCCATGGTATATGTATGATTTAAAAACTTTCTCTATTAATGCAGAAGTGCATTTTGTATAGCTTTGGTGAAATAGACATGATATAACTCTTACAGCTCTGTCAGTGCAGCAAATCCATATATTCTTGTGTAACAGGAGATTGTGTTTATAGTTTTAGCAATAAAGTTTTATATTTATGACTTCAGGTTGTTTTGTGTTCATTAGTTTATGTGCTTGGGTTACTGATCCAAGCAGTTGGTCTGTTTAGGGCCTCAACAGTCTAGCTTTCAATACAATAGCCCTCAGCTTCCTATTTGATTAATATTATGTAACTACAGCTTTCCTCCATAGCACTTGCACACTTTTTAGTCACACTGCTAACAACTCTGCACAGGACAAGCAACTCAGCACAGCTCAGGTTAGACATTTACTTTATATTAACCTAAATAGAATCTCAACTATCCATTAAATATGTTATAAATAATATAAAGTGTTGTAAATATTACTATTTTATATCAAGTAGCCAATGTACCTTTTAATTAATCAATATGAAGTGTGTAAATGTATGAATGTGTGAGAGCATGATTTGATTGGTAGTTTGAATGTAATGTTGAACAAGAAGTTTCTTTCTACATTATTAATTGTAGGCATAGTAAAATATTGTACTTATTATTTGTTTTAGGAATGCATTAACAAAGAATACTTGTGTGGGTATATAGGCACACCCCGGTGTCACCCACAGGGTATGTACATATTATCTTTTATCATGTATGTAATTATCTATGTGTGATTTAAATATCACCTCTATGATCATTTAAGTTGATCATTTGCAAGTTAAATTACAACCATTATGTAGTGTTTTATACATCAGTGGTAATAAGAATAACTTATTATGAACTAGTTATGTGTAACTGTGCTTGTTGCATGTTTAGATTTATGTATAGCATTCTTTCTTATATTACAGGGTGAATGACTGATCAATTGAATGACTGATCATTTGATTGACTGATCAGTTGAATAGTTGATCCATATATATGACGATGATGAAATAAACGTCACCTCTCACAAACACACCCGCAGCTTGTCATTATTGACTCACCCCTGCAACACTTGTGCCATATAGATATGTTGGACAGGAAAAAGTATTGAAGCTTCATGCAGTTTTATATTTTTCTGAGAAGTTGCATGTATATACAGTACATAAGTCACAGATTTGCCTAGGGCAAATGTTTCTAAATTTTCCTACAGGTTATACTACACTAAATGAGAATCGCTTGCTCACTGGAGCGAGATGCGTATGTAAACAAATGAAGAGATAAAGACATGTGACAGTTGTGATTGGATGAAATAGTGTAAGATGTTTATGTTTTTAAAAGAATATCCAACCAGTAATTAAAACTGACCACAATTTTAAGTATTTAGTGCTGTGATTTCCATCACCATGACTTATGCTTATTGTGTGTACAGATATTTTCCAGTAGGTGACATTTGGTGCGGATCTGGGGTTGATGTGTTCCGCTTCCTGTGCTCGCAAAACGAGCCGGACAAGTTGGCCAGATAGTGTGTTTTATGGTAGTTTAAAGGCCAGAGTGTACCCATGTGCACATGGAATGGCTGTTGATAGCCTGGATTATTTTAAAAAAATATAAGGCTACTATAGAAGTCTATGGGAAAACATTTGATGTTGTGTAACCTGATGGGTGAGCAGCCAGGCGTGTTACCAGCCGCGTCTGGGCGGGGGTGTTTATAGCTCATAACAGCCCAGCACTACAACTTGCTATGTTCACTGTGCATGTGGAAGGTCGGAAAGAATATTTTTCAGTATCTATTTTGACCCTAACATATTAAGTCTCGGGGTCAGCAAAACTATATTATGCGATCAAAGCGAAAACAAATTTGCTTTCAATTATCATCAGATTCACAGTGTCCTATTTACTCCTAGAGGCTTTACATTACAAGTTTAGAAGAAATAGATTGCGAATACAATAGAAGTTGAGAAGTTATTTGACAAGGAAAGACACCGTTAGAAAACACAGAATAACACCTGCTGATCCTTCTTTATGATGCTCGGGGATACGAATCCATTAAGAGCACCACGTAGAGACATTTCCCTCACGAACAAACCCGTCGATGTGCGACCTAACCATGGAATCGGTTACAACCACAGACAACGTTGATAACACGTCGAAGGAACATCGTGAGTGAGTTTAGTTTAACGCCGCACTCAGCAATATTCAAGCTATATGGCGGTGGTCTGTAAATAATCGAGTCTGAGCCAGACAATCCAGTGATCAACATCATGAGCATCGATTCACCCAACTTAGATACGATGGCATGCGTCAACCATGTCAGCGAGGCTGACCACCCGATTCGGTTAGTCACCTTTTACGACAAGAACTGTATGTTGCGCTATATGATGTTAAAGGTTATCCTGTAGGCATCATTGAGCCTGGTGTAGGTTGAATGTGGGCTTCTCTAGGCCAGTCTGTAGATGAGTCAGTATTGTGATACATACGCTACTCGTTATTTTTGTGAACTCTCATGATTTAAATTCAGTAGATATCGGCCATTTTGTGACCAGGATTGGCGTATTTCCCGTTTCATTGTTTTGAAAGTTATTTCATCATCTTTGATGAGCTGGTGTGACTAGGTGCTTGTGTAGTGCATTAGTGTGGGACTTGTCTGTGACTTTTAATGGAAGAGAGCAGTGATTTCTGGATGTCATTTGAAAAGATAAAACCGGGTTTTCATGTGTGCGTAGTGAGGAAACAACACTTTATACTAAAATAGTA